GTTCTATCAAATAGCTGCAAGTTTTTCGCTGTTTATCTAGACGAGCAGCTAAGTTTTGACAAACATGTTGATCATCTGGTTTCGAAATTGAACTCGTCCTTCTATGCAATTCTGAAGTTGAAGGGATGCCTCCCGCTATCGGGATTATTAGATGCGTATTATGCTCTCTGTTATTCGCATCTCTCATACAATATATTATTGTGGGGAAGATCGACGGAGTGGCGGCGTGCCTTTGTAGCACAGAAGCGCATTATAAGATTAATCTTCGACCTAAACTGCAGAGATTCGTGTAGAGATACATTCAAGGCCAATTCGCTTCTTACTCTTCAAAGTATATATATATATAAATCAGTTGTTCATGTGCGGGAGCATGTCGATAGATACCCTGTCATGAAACACAATTACGAAACTAGATCTGATAGTTTGGTGTGGTTGGGTCATCATAAGACGGCTTTCTTTGAAAAGAGTCCACGGTATGATTTCCCAAAGCTCTATAATAATTTGCCATCTGCAATTAAAAAAGCTGATACGCTTAGCTCATTTAAACATAAAGTAAAAATGATGCTTGTAGAAATGGCGTTTTACGACCGCCAGGAATACTTGTCATTTAATTTTAGTATTAGTCCTAGTCAACTAGCATAGGTCATACTTCATAATTTAATTTCTCTCTTTCTTTGTTGAATATTGTGTATGTTGTGTATTATATATTGTATGTGGTTTGAACTTGTCACATCTACTATTTGTAGCCAGGTGATTAAATAAATTATTATTAGTATTATTATTATTTTTATTAAGTCATGTTTTATATTTAATTTAAATTTTTTTATTTCAGATGCAAAAAGATTGCGACGATCCAGTGAAGAATGCCTACCTGAAGACTCAGAATCAGACCATGAAGATATAAAAAGACCAATTAAAACATCATCTCCACCTTCACAATCTCAAACCATCTCCATGACAACCCCTTCTCCAGATCCAGCAATTTCCCCGGATCCGGATCTTGACGTTGAAGAAGAAACCGAATCGGAAGCACCTGAAAATCTTTCATTAAAAAAAGCGTCATCGCCGGAAGTACCAATGCAACAACACCCGCCAGCGATGCTTCATTATCCTCCCTTTCCTCAATTTCATCCATTTCAACCACAATATCAACGATCGCCAGTTGATGTCCTTTTGAGGGTGTTTCCAGGAAGGAGGAGATCAGATGTTGAAACAATTTTGCAAAGGTAATAACTTAGTAATTAAAGTATCATGATTATGATTTTTTTTAATTAGATGTAAAGGTGATATTCTCCAAGCAATGGAATTGATGGTGAGTGGTTCAACTGAAGACATGGCCACACCTTCTGCGTTTTCACCATTGGGACCTCCCCCTTCCTATCATCGTTACAGTCCATCAAGGAGGTTTCTGTCGGCACCCTACGCCGGAACTGGTTATTTGCCGACCGTCATTAGACCACCTAACGAATACCATATGTCGATGATACCACCCCATGAACTTTACCCTTCGGATAAGACATCATCGCCAGGTTCAAATGCGGGTTCCGATAAAACATCTTATTCCGAATAGCCGAGATTTTACTAATTTCAATTAAAAATCGTTTAGTTTTGAAAAATAAAAATTGAGTTGAAATTAATCCAATGATTATTTGCACGAACTTGGCGATTCGTTTCGAAGTGTCTGTGATATATGAATTAATTTTTACAAGTTACTTTTAAGGGATCGACCGTGTCGACGGCCACATCAGAATTTAATTAAAGCGAATACACGTGATATGGAATATTGAGTTTGTATGGGGAGATAGAGAGAGATTTCCCATTGAAACGGCGACGTTATTGGGGCTGTCCGGGAGCGCCTATTGTGCTTCTGTAGCTACCAGATTCGAATAAATTATATTGTAAACAGTAAACACGGAGGACGTGTGCTCGTCTCCCCGGGGGCCTATTGATTACAATTTCACCCTGGCGACCTCTCTACACGGGGCACCCTAATCCTTTTTAGATTGAATTAATTTATATCCTACCCACTGTGCTTGTACGATTTCCGCAAATTGTAATAAAAAATATTTAAATGTATCAGCCAAAATTCTTGTACGTTCGAAAAAATATAAAATTATTGTTTGTTTTTGGTAGAAATTTGAATGGAAAAGTGTGTAATTAAGGATGTAGTTACCTTTGTAAATATTGTGTATATGATCGTAATTAAGCCAAAACGTGTATTGGTTTAAAAAATATATTAAAATAAGTAGAATAAAAATAATGAAATGTTCGTACATTTAGGAAGAAAACTTGTAGATTTGTAGAAGTGTTAGTGTAGAGAAAATAATAGAGTAGTTTGTAAGTGTTGATGTGTATACGAGTTAAATTAAAAATATACTATGAAAATAAGTTTTATTCTTTATCTTGTTTATCCCAATAATATCATTAAATTTCAACATAATATATAATTTTTTTATCTACGACTGCTTGGATAAGTCATCATTACCGCACTCATTTGAGGCGATTTGAGTTACGTAATGAAGTTCATTACCGCACTCGTTTCATTACGTAACGCATTTTTAGCCTAATCAGAACAGACTTAATTTATTGAAACGAGCAACAATACAAAAGAAAAAGTGCTATCTACTTACAGAGAAACAATACTATTTATTATAAACATTAATTGTTATGTTTTTACATTTCAAAACACTTATTCCAGATGAGTAAACATGTTGTTGAAACTGACAATTCAAAATTGTCAATAATCATTT